AACAGTACCGATCAGGAAAACCAACAGTGGCGATCAGGAAAACAAACAAGAGGCAAAGTTTCATTTATTGAAAATGACCAAATGAATTGACCATTTCGTCAAATAAGACAAAATTCCTCAAGAAGTGAAAAGAAAACCTCAAGAAGTGCGCGGTGTGTTGACCATAATGCTTCTGCACACATCGTGCAAAATTTCCAAAACTCAGCAAAACAGTCATGCCAAGCAAAAGACGTGCTGAAATTTAGTGAAGCAAATAACTGATCGTTTAAAGATTTGGCAACTAATAAACTCAAATAATTGCTTGAAATGAACTTCAAGATCACCTGCGTAAAGAATCCAATACTTGGGTACATCATACCACTGCATTAGTTTCGCAAATGGATAGACAACAGCACTTAACGCAATCGAACCCGTGAATGTTCTTGGTACAACGCCCGGGAATTGGTGATGATCATACTTAAGAACGAATAACATTAATTGCAATTCCCGTACGAGTGGCATCATTGCATTTCTGTGCTTTGCTAAACACTTTACAATGTCAACCAATTATGTCGGCTGCTGTTATGAGATATTGCGGAGTGCATTCTTCAATTTCTTTTGACTGCTTCGAATAAACTGCGCGAGATCTCTAGTCATTACTTGATGATAGAGGCCAGTGACGTGAAATTCATACTCGAATGGTCAAAAAGAGTTGAAATTTGGCTGGGCAGGATGGCAAAACATTGCGCGAACATCATAGCCAGTGATGCATAATTTGAAAAGAAAAATTGACCCAACTCCGGTTCCGGCTTCGCGTTTTCAAAATTATTGGCTACGACTCCGTCTTTGGGATTTCAAAATTTCTGACTTTGGCTTCATCTTTGCATTTTTGAAATTCCGACTGCAACTCCACACTTTTCAAAATCTCGGCTCCAACTAGGCGTCTCCGAAATTTCAGCTTCAGTCGAAAAATTTACTTCAATTCGCCTCGGCTCGGTCTCCAGAAAAAATCTATCATGCCGGTCTTAGCTACGGTTACTGAACGTTGCTGTGAATTCTTGTTTTGAACGAGGCGAAACAAGTCTTTCTCGGCTTCAGTGCTTACTGTTAAACATCAGTGTTCACAACTAGTAGTAGCTAGCCGGGGATGATAGTATCGTTAGAAGTGCAGTTCAGTCTTTCAGATGCTTTCTCGCACTTGAATTTGCTTGAAACGCAGAACTTGATACGAACCTTATACTACAAACATCCACCTCACAACAAAATGCACTTAATCTTGTCATTGTCATTCGTTTGCCATAAAGTCACAATAAACATGACAGGTAATTGTTTCTATATTGGAATATCATTACGACAAGTTGAAATCATCAAAGAAGTTGCACCGCAAGCTGCATGAAGATTTCAATCAGCCTATAATTGCACGTTAGATTAACAAATTCACCTGTGAAGTGTTCATTTGATGAAATAAAAGATCGTGTACTGCTTGAACATTGAAGCTCTCTTCGACCTTCGTGCATGGCGCCATCGTCAAATGTATCATCAGCGCGATCAGTAACATCCATTCCGTATTCGAGATATTGTCCATCGTTGATCCGATCAATCAATCAATCGATCGATCACCTTACATTATACTTGTTACCAGCGCTCCTCATACTGTGGCGATGTATAATTGGTAAGGCCAAAAACTTTTTCCGCTATTTTCAGTGCATCGCTACGAAATCAACCATTCGCATTTCGAGGGAAAGAAAACATGCCAAAAATTCAGTCAAAAAATGTTAACATTGCACCCTATACTCGTTGTAGAAATTTTGAGCATTACTTACACTTTCCGCTTGACTGTCACGACTATTAGTAATAATAACGATTCTAGTAATACTCATAATGATAATAATATAATAATTATGAGTAACCAATAATAATAATACCGACGCAATAAAGAACAAAACTGCAATAACCAGCAGAATAAGACGAATGGATCTCTTGATAGCAAAGGTAACGCAAGCGATAGTTTGTACGCTTCTAATTTGTGCTTTTTTATTCCTTATATGATCTAATTATTGCTATTGCAATACAAACTGCAATCACCGTCAGTGTTTATTTCCACCAGAACACATTCTTTACAAAACAACCAAATACAACAATTGATGCAGCAAATATTATCTGCAAAATGATAAACTATACGTATTCAGTAACAACATTCAGTAACAGCAACACACACAAACAAAAACAAATGCATTTCGATAGATTACTTTACAAAGTCTGAAGGAGTATCCTTTGAAATTATACCATCTCGTTGCATACAATTCAATAGATTCTTCGATTTTTTTGCTTCCTCGTCCATTCCCTTCACCACTTTTCTCGCCTGTAACCACGCGAAAGATTGCAAGAATTCAAAAAAAATATTGCAGATCAGATTCATGATCGATATCTATGAATAACTAAGTCACGTTTTTTCTGTCGCAACTTTGCTGAACATTATATAAATGCAATAAAATCTTCCAAAATCCATCCCATACCTGTGCCGCTTCACGTCAACTTTTCATCCTGGAATTCTCTTTCACTTCTAAGTTCTCGACATATCACTCGTATTTAACAGCTTTCGCTTCGAATTGGGCCATTCGATGAACTGCTCGTTCCAACTGATTGTGAGTTTCGATTCGCTTTCGAAGGATTCCTCTATATCTCTCTTAAAATTTTCCAATCAATCATCTGACAAATAATGAATCCACCTTCGAATTCCGATACTTTCAAGCGATAAATAATCGGTAATGATGCCTAATCTTCACGGCCCCAAAAAATTCATTCGGCTCTCTCAAAAAAATATCACTGTAATATTCAGTAGCCGGAGCTAACATCAACATGATAGGTTTCTTTCGGATTTAGACCGCTTTGAAGTCGGAACCGAAATTTGAAAAAAGCAGAGCTGGAACGGGAGGTAAAATTTCAAAGAGGCGGAACTGGTGCCGGAGCCAAAAAATTCAAAAACGCAGAGCCGAAGCTGAGACAATTTTGACAAAACAGGTATCGCCACTTACGAGAAAGGTAAACGCATGAGCTGACGCAGGTGTTTGATTAGAAACAAAAACAAACAAACATTCAGCAGAAGTACGAGTAGAATCGAATATCCTGATACTGGGACGACCAACCGTGAATCGTTAACTTTTGTAGTAAACTGATGGTAGAAGTTATGCCATCTCGTTCCATGCAATTCAATAGATTCTTCAATTTTGTTGCTTCCTCGTCCATTTCCTTCACCACTTTTCTCATCTGTAACCACTCGAAAGATTGGAATATCATGAAATTACCCAGATCACATAGCAACGCTTCAATATCATTCATCACAGTACACGTCAACTGAAAATCTCCTTAGGCACACCACGATAAATAATGCAGTGCCATTGAGATGCATCGAATGATACTCTGCAGAGATTACATCCTTTGCAACGACAATGTTCGCACACAGTAAATACAACAGTTTCTTGCTAGCTCTCGACTTTTTTGCTAT